AGCCCACGACGTCGTACATTTTCTACGTCATACCATACACCTTTGTACTTATAACAAAAGATATAAAAACACAGGTTATAACGTGTCATTAAACACATATTAGTCGGCAAATGGAAAAGAATGATTTGTGTCCACTGGGTGTACCTAATGAACTTGTAAAGTTCTATTGTTATAAAATGCCTTTGTGAATACACTATTAGTTTGACTAACAGGTGGTCACAATCAAGTTAAACGATTTTAACGAACGATATATCTTTTTATAGCACTATTGAAAAGAGCGTTAGTTTACTGTCATTTATGTTCGATGCATTATCTTACTCATAATAGGCCTTAATAACAAATTATGCCTTGGTACATATTGGTCCACATGATAAGCTATATCATTTTCCTATGGTCGAGCATAAGCCACTTGTACACAGAGCTATTTTCTGATCCAAGGGTACCACGGTGCAATATGGAAGCGTTAAAATGGTTCACCTGATCCAAGTCAAAGTTCTGCTGAACCTGAATATCTGCTACGCGGCAACTACGGACTCTGATAACATCAGCGCTGGCGTTAACTGTTTGCAACTGGCTGAGGAAGAATGTATTCACCAACGTAAACAGGGCTGCACTTCTGATCATTGTCAGTTAGCCTGTGGAAGATATTATTGATTAGTCTGTTATTTGTATCGGATTTAACACCCACATTAATTATAAAAATTAATTTCCTAACATAGGCCTAATAGAGCCGATGATGCTGCCACTTTACTGTTCATTAAAAGAATAAGCAAAATAAGATTGCATACTGTGAAAAGTGAGGCAGTCGACGCATACCTACACGGCGCCACGACGCGCAGTGTTTCGTTCGTCTTCACGAATGTATCGTTCAAAACGACGATCATCTCAGATAAGACTCCCACCGACGGCCAGTGGACCGGCCTTGCGATGGAAAACGCTCACACAGAGCACTTAAATTTCGTTGAACAACTATCATTTAGTATTATATAGGATGTTGAAATTGAGTTTAGAAATACCGTACTCTGTGTTTACTACTTTTCATTTTACCGAACCAAGTCCAACCGGTTTGTTTTCTTTTTCTGTTAGAAAACCCATATTACTGCAAGGTACGGTAGTGACTGTCATTTCATAAAAGACACTCAGTTAAAAACAGTTACAACAAATAATGTTTGTTAATGTTTTTAAACAAAATGCAAACACTCTGAAGGAATATCAACCACCACTCTTTCGCGTCCCGGACCTCTCAGTAATGAAATGGAGGGAGGGGGTACCCAGCAGATTTTCTGACGTTGGATCGACGTCGAAATAAGGTTGGGACGTTGATCAACATAAATACAACATCTATTCAACGTCGATCCACACCCGTCGATTCAACACCGTGATGCTAACGTTGATTCAACGTTGTAATGTGGTCGGTGTCGAAAAACCAACGTTGCATCGAGTTGAAATTGGGTCATTCATTTCAACAACAAAAAATCAACGTTGATTGTCATCGTCGATACAACGTCGTGATGTGACACGTTGGTTTTACGTTTTACACTGACGTTGAATCAACGTTGAAATTAGGTCAGTCGATTCACCAACAAGAATTCAACGTCTATTCAACGTCGATTCTCGATGTAGCTACAACGTAGCAATTTGGCGTTGATTCAACGTTCAACACTGACGTGGAATCGACGTTGAAATTATGTCAGTCACTGAACAACCAAAATTCAGCTAAATTGAGTTTAGACATACCGTACTCTGTGTTTATTTCATAAAATGTAGCTACAACGTAGCAATTTGGCGTTGATTCAACGTTGAACACTGACGTGTTCTACGTCCATTCCACGTCAGTGCTCGACTGAACAACCAAAATTCAACGTGTTTTCAACGTCGATTCTCATCGTCGATACAACGTCGTGATGTGATGTTGTTCCACGTTTACACTGACGTTAAATCAGCGTTGAAATTAGGTCAGTCGATTTACCAACGAGAATTCAACGTCGATTCTCGATGTAGCTACAGCGTAGCAATTTGCTGTTGATTCAACTTTGAACACTGATGTGGAATCGACGTAGAAATCATGTCAGTCATTGAACAACTAAAATTCAACGTGTTTTTTCAAAGTCGATTCTCATCGTCGTGATGGGACGTTGGCTCCACGTTTTTCACTGACGTTGAATCAACGTTGAAATTAGGTCAGTTGATTCACCAACGAGGATTAAACGTCTATTTAACGTCGATTTTTGATGTAGCTACAACGTCGCAATTTGGCGTTGATTCAACGTTGAACACTGACGTGGAATCGACGTTGAAACTATGTCAGTCACTGAACAACCAAAATTAAACGTGTTTTCAACGTCGATTCTCATCTTCGTGATGTGACGTTGGTTCCACATTTTACACTGACGTTGAATCAACGTTGAAATTAGGTCAGTCGATTCACCAACGAGGATTAAACGTCTATTCAACGTCGATTTTTGATGTAGCTACGACGTCGCAATTTTGCGTTGATTTAACGTTGACCACTGACGTGAAATCGACGACGAAACATATGTCAGTTACTGAACAACCAAAATTCAACGTGTTTTCAACGTCGATTCCCATCGTCGTGATGTGACGTTGGTTCCACGTTTTACATTGACGTTGAATCAATGTTAAAATTATTTCAGTCGATTCAACAACCGGAATTCAACATCGAGAAAGAAATTGTTTAGGTCGGCAATCCAGTCTATTCAATGTTGATTTTTGTCGTCAATAAACCGATCGTAATATTATGTTGAATCACCGACGAAATTCGGTTCAACAAACTGAATTAACGTTATTTCAGCGGCATAAACTTTTATGAGAGGGGATGCGCTCCACCCTTCCCATTCCCTATTCCGCACCCCTAGATGGATCATCGACGTGAATTCAACGTATATTCAACGTACATCTGTTTACGTCGTAGAGTACAGTATTTACGCGATGAATTTGTGGTAGCGCGCGCGCGTTATCCGTGATTAAGTTTTAGCGCCTAAACTTGTTTGTTCAGTCAAGGTTCAGTGTATACACCACCGCTACGTAATGTACTGAGGACGTGATTTTAGGTGCAGGATTAGAGATGAAAGAATCTAGGCCTAGGTTAGGCCTATCATTTCGCTATTTTAATTACCTATATTCAAATTAGCGGTAAGTAACATCTTAGCATAAGCTTTTAGGCCATGGGCTGGAGGGGGAGTCACCGTGCACCACCGCCCCCCCCCCCAAACACAGTTAAACTTCCTTGGTATCATTTTGTTCCTACGGGCATAACAAAAAAAATTGATGTTAACAAGAAAAATATAGGGATGCATTGTATGTACTTGGGTCATTTGTAATGGTCGTTAGTGTTTTATGGTCAATACTTTTTTTTGGGGAGGGGGGTAACATTTATGCCCATAACCTGTGAATTAAAAATACCATCAACGTTATTTTGGTAGCAATGTGTAGCATATATATTTCTTAATCATATGCAGTTTAAATAAAATTAATCCGACAATTATTAACGT